GCAGCAGCCTCCTCCCTGCCAGTGACCTGTACCAGGCTGGAACTTCTCTTCACTGACCTCCCTCAGCGGAGGCAGCTCTCCTCAAGGCCGCCTGCCGGCAACCATGCAGGCCTCTCTCAGCAAAACCTGTCCCTTTCCCTAATAAACCTGCTCTTTAAATATAAAAAATAAATTAAATTATAGAATAAATTAAAATGATAAAGAAACATTAAAAATCATAAAAGATGACATGAATAATAAAACAAATGTTTTGGTGATCATGGTAAATATAAATAGAATCTACTCCATTATTAAAATTAAGTTTCACAAATCAGATTAAGAATTCAATTTTATGTTATTTAAATGAAGCACAAAATGAAACCAAAAGATTAATGTAAGGGAAGAAGAAATATGTAAAACAAATGCAAATTAAGAGAAATCAAAGATGACAAACTTACATTCGTAAAATTAGATATAAAAATGGCAATGAAATTTATAAAGCCAAAATATGAAGAAGGATGGAGAATCACTTAATTTAATAGCTTCCTGGACATAAACACGTACACTGGACAATATGCCCTTTTCTCCCCCTGGAGAGGGAGTGGAGAGTCAGCATCTACACGGCAGCACATGCCCTCCGCAGGGGTCTGGACAGCCAGGTGCCAACTCCTACTTCCTTTTTCTCAGGTCCTCCCAGATGTTCTGCACTCTTCTTGTCCTTTCCCTGCCCCAGTCCTATAATCAGTCATTTCTTCAGGGAGCTCGGGTTCTGCTTATTGGAGTATGGAATTTAGAACAAGGATCTGGATGCAGATGTGCTCATTGCTGCTGGCTTGTCACTGCTTCCAGGCCTGCTCAGCAATCAGACCCAGGAAACATCTCTCAGATTACTACCCTCTGTATACACATACATCTGGATTTCTATATCTAGCCACCAATAAGATTACAGGAATTATGCACCATTTTTTTGACCTTTAGCCAAAACACCTTTTTTCAAAGTGTAGTAACTTTTTCTCCCAACCTCTTCAGTGAAGTTAGGTGGTACATTTGTAAAACAACCAGATTCCTTTGTCACACTCTGCATTCCATCCTGGGGTCACTGACAACCAGAAGGAATTTTCCAGTTTGCCTACAATGAAGTTCACTCTTGGTCTGTACCATTTTATATGTTTTGACCATTGTAGAGTGATGTGCCCACCACACCTCTGTGCAGCCCGTTATGCTTTCAGCACTCTGTCTTCTCCCCTCTAACCCCCGGCAACCACTTGACTTATATCTGCTTTCCATTTTGTGGTAGACTGAATAAAGACCCAAAGAGATCCACGTCCTAATCCCCCAAACCAGCGAATGTTACCTCACATGGCAAAAGAAATTTTGCAGATGTAATTAAGTTAAGGATTTTGTGATAGAGACAGTATCCTGGATTCTCCATGTGGGTCCTAGTGGAATCACCGAGCCCTTAATAGAGGGTGACAAGAAAGTCAAAAGAGGGGTTTCCCTGGTGGCACAAGGGGTTAAGTTTCAGCACTATGAAGCTATCAGCAGCCATTACAGTGTGAGTTCGATCCCCAGCCAGGGAGCTACCCACATGGCACAGCAGACCTCTCCTGTCTCACCCGCTGCTCCCCTCAGCAGTGTATTTCAGTTGAGCCACATGTTCTGCTCCCCACTCTATCTCTGGTGACTCCTCTCACCCCTCACACCTCTGGCCTGTACCCCAGTTTTTGTACGCATAAATAAATCTTTTAAAAAAAAGTGCTGTCTCTCTAAAAAAGAAAGTCAAAAAACATAGCGGAAGACATGAAGGTGGAAGCAAGAGGTTGCAGTGATGTGAGGAAGGAGTCACATGATAAGGAATACAGGTGGCCTCCAGCAGCCAGAAAAATCAGAAAAGTTCTCCCCTGGAGCTTCCAGAAGGAACCAGTCCTACAACACCTTGACTTTAGCATAGTGAAACTACAAGCTGCTAAGTTAGTGGTAATTTTTTATAGCAACAATAAGAAACCAATAAGCCTTGTTATAGTTTTACCTTTTTTCAAAATATCATGCATAGAATTTGAGTCTTTGATTATAAATAGTTTTGAGTCTTTGATTCTGGCTTCTTTCACATGGTAGAATGCATTTAAGATTCAGTCATATTTATGTCCAGTGGACTTAATGGGGGTATGGTGAGATGACAGACATCTGAAGAGGCATGATCTTATACCTCTGAATCATATACAGTGTTGTAAACCATTGTTACCTCAATTAAAAAAAGATTCAGCCAAGTTTGTTATATGTCTTTTGTGACACACACAAAAATGACTCATCCATGTTGTTGAGTGAATTAATTGATCTTCTTATCTCTGACTAGAGTTCTGTTGTATGCATGTAACAGTTTGTTTATTCATTTACCTGCTGAAGGCCATCTGGCTGTTTCCAGTATTTTTTTTTTTTTTTTAAAGATTTATTTTTATTTGCTTATACAAGCACTGGGTACAGTCAGAAGCACGGGAGGGTGAGAGAACTCACCAGAGCCAGAGCGGGAGCAGAGCAGGCAGAAGGACCGAAGTACACTGCTGAGGGGAGCAGCGGGCGGCAGGAGAGGTCTGCGCGCCATGCGGACCCTCCTCCGGTGGCCGGGGAGCAGCCGGGGATCGAACCGGCGCTGCAGAAGCTGCGGGCAGCTTAGTAACCCAGCGCTCAACCGCTGCGCCACCGGGAGGCCCTGTTTCCAGTATTTTTTTTAAAGATTTATTTATTTATACATACAAGAACTGGGTCCAGAGGTACGGAGGGGTGAGGGGATTCACCAGAGACAGAGCAGGGAACAGGGGAACAGAACAGGCAGACTGAAATACACTGAGGGGAGCAGTGGGGAGACAGGGGATGTCTGCTATGCCATGTGGGTAGCTCCCCAGCCAGCCAGGATCATGCTGCAAGGGCTGCAGATAGCTTCACAGTGCTGTGCTTATTAACCCCTTGCACCACCAGGGAGGCTCTGTTCCCAGTTTTTGATGAGTAAAGTTACTATAAGCATTTGTATACAAGTTGTTATGTCACATACATTTTCAATTCAGTTGACTATTTAAGAAAACTCATAGATATTCATAGTTATTAGGACAAGGAGATGTTCATTTAAGTATCATTGCCAGGGAACTAGACTACTAAGTAACACACAAACAAAAAGAATTATAGACTTTTTAAGGTCAAGGTTACATTTTTTGACAGAATAAGTCAAAAGTTTTGAATTCCAGATATCTTACAAGACCCCTTTGTTAGAAATAAAATTTTCAAGGACATTTTACGAGACCAGAAAATCATTTTATTCTGTTGCTGGGATTTCTTACACCAGCAGTTAGAAGGCTTGTGGTTTTCCAGACCAAATGCTGAAATTCCATAATTTAGAACTAAGAGAAATAAAGATACATCTTAGAAGATTAAAATGTGGAAAAGAAAAAGACAAAATAGAATTCTAAACAGTTGGGATATGAGCATATAATGTCATCCGCCTACAGTGTTAATAGAACAACTTGACAGTGAATATTTGATTTTCTAGTTTATTATATTGGCAATCATTCAGTCCTAGAGCTTAGTACTGTTTGTTATGAAACGTCAAATAGTTTCAGGGAGTCATTAAAACTTACCTGTTTTTTCCACCAAATGTGCAGTGACACCTCAGCCAGTGGAGTTTTGCCTGAACAAAGAAAAAATAAGTCATGCACACACAAAAATGGCAAAAATTTTCCCTAATATACCAAAACCACAGAGGAATAATTCCAAGTTGTACCCTTCAACGCAAAATCAGACACAAGTCACATAATAGACAAAAGTCTTATAAAATCAACTACAAAGTGTATAGAAATATTTGTCAGGGGTAAGGGATTTTTTTCCTACTTTCAAGCTAATAAGTTAGTCTGTTATCATTTCTTGGATGCCAGCAGCACTGTAAGCAGTAAGAGCATCAGCAGCCTATTTGTGTCAGTTCCCTATATTCCCACCTCCCAGCTGGAGCATAGTGGAGGGGCCCAGGTGGACCCCCTATGCAGACATGCACATGTGCATTGCAGCTAAGAAATACTAGCCTTGGGGAATACACATCTTTTATAGAAAAACTGTTCTTTCTCCCAGAAGGAGATATGACCTCATCCCTTCAGGCAGCTCCCTGAAAATATCTCTTTGAGAAATGGCCCAGGTAAAAAGTAGTCAGGTCTTTGCATTCTTGATATACCCAACAAGAACAAGCAGGGCCGCCCAGGCCCAGGCAGATTGCATCTCTCAACAATGTCATGCCCGGAGACAAAAGGGGCCACCGCTCCTTGCACATGGAGTGGACACAAAGATGTATCGCCTGCTGTTTTGCCTCTGGGAATGGTTCCCTTTTCCACGTTCCTTTGGGGGGATAGAACATATCCGTGATTAGCTAGTGCCTACAAACTGCATAAACCAGACCTGTGCTTTTTCTCTGTTAACCAGTCATAGGGAACTCTCCAGGAAGACATACATGCGCATTAAGGGAGAAGTAAATCAGCAGGAGCAAGTGCCACTGAAGTGTAAAGCACCTCTTGAAGCAATTCACTTGAGCCTTCAGGTCAGCTTGGATAAAATCTCACGTAGAACATTGTCATTTATCATGGGATACTGTTGTCACTTTCAATTTGATGTTTCCAGGGTTCAGATAACACCTAGTTCCTGATGATCTTTTTAAGTGGCAGGCCTCACTCTCTTTTGCAAGAGGGAAGCTCTTGCTTGCCACTAAGAAAACCCACCTAAAGCTGCAGGGAAGGAAACCTGCTAATACCATCAGTTCCTAGGATACAGGGCAGGTAGAGAAGGGCGGAGTGAATCTGGAAGAGCAAATGGGCGATGGCCAGCACAGCCCATAAATGGCACTGATGTCACTGGCATGAGTTTTTAAAACATTAAACCATTCTTGGTAAAGTTCCAAACAAAACAACACATACTGCTTTTAATTTACACAGTAGTTCCATTCCTGGAAAATTCCAGGATATTAAAACTGTGCAAAAAAATACTTAGAATTATGCTTGCCTCAGCAGCATGATACTAAAACTGGAATTATACAGAAATGATAAGCATGGCCCCTGCCCTAAAACGACATGCAAATTTGTGATAGTGTACCATTTTTGGTAAAATAAATATTAGGAGGAAAAAAGTACATTGAGTTTACATGTGAAATGAGATGGGGTTTTAGGCTTAGATAATTACAAATAGGTTTTCATATATGTGAATGTGTAGGGGGGCATCTAAAAATTAAGAAAGATATAGGAAAATTTGTCCTTGTAAGAATGTCACATCCATTAATGGACATATGACATTCTTGGCTCTTGCCCACTAAACGCCAGGAGATCCCTGCCAGGGGATTCCTGTCAATCACCATAACAACCAAAATAGCTGCACCTATTTTCAAAGCATTCCCTTAAGTGGTACTGCCCTTAGTAAGATCCACTCTCTTAAGGCGAAACATTCAACTTTGCAGGATTTGGGCTTGATACTTCTTCAGCTTATTATCTGGGGGCAACACTGAATGCAAGAAATGACTTCTCAGTTTATGAGTCCTTGTCCAATCAAAGGCACAAAGTCTTTGACCCAGTAACCAAGCACTTGCTGCCATTTCTGGCAATGCATATTTGTGAATTTGAATTTTTTAATTTAGTACTAAAAAGAAATAAGAAAATAACTGGCTGGATATGAAGTTCAAGTTTCACATAAAATCAGATGAAAGTTTATAGACAACCATATTTCATGTCACTTAATATTAAACTAAAACATTTGTCTAACTTACACATTTTAAGTAGCAAAAACACATGTATATAAAAATTACAAAATATAGACACAAAAATAAAAAGTAAAGTCATCGCATTCGTGGTAAACAGAATAATGACCCCCTTCAAAGATATCTTTTTTTTTAAAGACTTATTTATGCATACAAGAGCTGGGGTGTAGACCAGAGGTATGGGGGCAGTAAGAGGATTCACCAGAGACAGAGTGGGGAATAGAACAGGCAGACTGACTGAAATACACTGCTGAGAGGAGCAGAGGGCGAGTCAGGAGAGGTCTGCGGCACCAAGTGGGCAGCTCCCTGGCCGGCAGGGGATCAAATTCGAACTAGTGGTGTAATGGCTGCGGATAGCTTCACAGTGCTGTGCCTAACCCCTTGCACCACCAGGGAGGCTCCCCTCCTTCAAAGATATCTAATAGTGCCTTCTAGTGCCTCAAAAAGGAACAATACCGACAGGCACCTTGATTTTAGTCCCAAAGACTCATCTCATATTTCTCACCTTCAAAACTGTAAAGATAATAAATTTATGTTATTTTAATCCACTAGATTTGTGGTTTAACTGTTAGAGCAATAATAAACTCATGAACATTCCCTTGCCCTACAAAGATCCACCATCGTTAATACCTTAGTACATATATTTCCAGATCTTTTCCTATACTATTACATGTTATGTATGGTTTTTGCAAAAATGGAACACAGAAAGCATACTGTTTTATAATCTGCTTTTTAAAAATCAACAAACTCGGGCCTCCCCGGTGGCGCAGCGGTTGAGCGCTGGGTTGCGAAGCTGCCCGCGGCCTTGGAGGCGCCGGTGCGATCCCCGGCTGCTCCCCGGCCACCAGAGGAGGGTCCCACATGGAGCGCAGACCTCTCCTGCCGCCCGCTGCTCCCCTCAGCAGTGTGCTTCGGTCCTTCCGCCTGCTCTGTTCTCCGCTCTGGCTCTGGTGAATTCTCTCACCCTCCCGCGCTTCTGACTGTACCCAGTGCATGTATAAACAAACCATCAAACAAACAAATAAATAAATAAATAAAACATGCCTCTATAAAAAAAAAAATTAAAAAAAAATAAAAAAAAATCAACAAACTCTACCTTTCCATTTCATCAAATACCTAGATTAGATTAAAAGTTACCTAAATGACACAAAAAAGACATAACAGTTGTTTGGCTCAAATAAGAATCTGTTCAAGGACACGTGGCATGTGATAATTATGTCCATTTCGTTCTGATTCTGACTATGAAGGAGATGATCCTACAGTTGTTCTGAGGAATGTGCTATCTTCTGGGTTTATTTAGTTGCTACCATTGGTGTTTACTTGAGTCTTCAATCTCCTGTATTTCCTAGAACACTTTTATTGAACATTTTTGGCTAAAATACTCTGTAAACGATGAGTATTTGTGTTGAACAGCATCAGAAGAATATATGGTTAATCCATCAGTGATATCAAGCTTGGCTGTTGGATTAAGATGATAACTACCTAATCTCTCCATTTCACTGTTATATTTTTTTTTAAGATTTATTTATTTATTTATACAAGCACTGGGTACAGTCAGAAGCATGGGAGGGTGAGAGAATTCACCAGAGCCAGAGGGGAGAGCAGAGCAGGCAGACTGACAAAATACACTGCTGAGAGGAGCAGCGGGCGGCAGGAGAGGTCTGCACGCCATGTGGGACCCTCCGCCGGTGGCCGGGGATCGAACTGGCGCTGCAGAGGCTGCGGCGGGCAGCTTTGCAACCCAGTGCTCAACCACTGCGCCACCGGGGAGGCCCTTCACTGTTATATTTTTGCCTGGAAACTACGAAGTGGCTGTTTTTACATTTGCATTTGAAAAATATCCAGTTCCCATAAAACATTTTAACAACAATTGGTAATCACTGTGAAAATGATAATGATCATGGTAATTTCACTAAAGCTTGTGAAGTGATGTTTTTCAAAATCTAACATCTCTTCTACTTTTACTAATAGGTATTCATCTGTGAATTACAGCTTTCTCTCATCTTTTGGGGATATTTGGTTACCTGAAATACAGGTTCTGCTGGGAATGTAGAATAAAATGCTTTATTTTTTTTTACCACTAATAACAAATTTCCATAGTAAATAGTTGATTTAATACCTGCCTCAAATGGTGACAAATAACATTTTTCAGAGTTTCTCTATCTTGAACATCATTATCAAAGCATGGGTTTTCATAAATTCCATCTGTTTCACTTTACTGCAACCATTAGTCTTTATAATGCTCTAAATGTCATGACCATGGCCGGAGGAATATAACCTACTGATCTATGAGTACTTTACTGATTCCTAACACAACAAAATGTCCCTGGCTCTCCTTGGACTCTCACTTTCTCAAAAAACCCACTTCCCTTTAATAGGGAATGATTTACAGAGACCACGCCTGAGCACAAGGGCGCCTATTACTGGAGTGGCATTGCTCTTAGGTCATTGCAATGGACAGAGCTGCAAAAAATATACATATTGTAGCAGACAAACATGAGGATGGCCTCCAGGAACCCTGTCTCCTGGTGTTCATGGTCCTGTGTGCTTCTCTCCTCTTGAAAGTGGGAGCAACTATGACTTGCTGTAGTTAGCAGTGTATGGAAAAGTACCAGGATGAATATATATATATATATATATATATATATATATATATATATAAAATGTATGACTAATGCCAGATTTGCAAGGAGACTCTCTCCCTTGCTGGCTTTAAAGAAGCCGACAGCCATGCTGTGAGCTGCCTATCAGGAGGGCCACAGAGCAAGGAAGGGCCGGCAGTCAGAAAGAAACAGCCCTTCAGTTCAGCCACCTTCCTGACAACCATGTGAGTTTGGAAGCAGATGCAGTTGCAGCCCTGGTCAACACCTTGATTAAAACTTTGCTAGACCCTGAAGCAGAGATCTAACTAGAGCTATACCCAGGCTCTAACATACAAAAAAAGGAGATGATAAATGTTTCCTGTGTTAAACCGCTAAGTTTACAGTAATACTGTTATATAGCCATATGTAACTAATAACTATTTAACCATGGACTTATATGAATAATTTCAGTTCAATTTTTTTTTAAAGATCCATTTATCTATACAAGAACCGGGGTACAGGCCAGATGCACAGGAGGGTGAGAGGATTCACCAGAGACAGAGCAGGGAACAGAACAGGCAGACTGACCGAAATACACTGCTGAGGGGAAGAGCAGGCGAAACAGGAGAGGTCTGCCTCGCCACGTGGGCATCTCCGGGACCGGGGGGATCAAACCGACGCTTCAGAGGCTGCGGACAGCCTCATAGCGCTGCGCTCAACTGCCTGCGCCACTAGGGAGGCCCTATTTTCTGTTCAGTTTTAATATTACAGTGCAGTTTTTTCCTTAATTTCTTGGATTTTATCCTAATATGTTTTTGAATAATGGGACTACTGGTCCTAGTCCCTGGAGGACCACATTCTTTCTGCTCCCCACTCTTTCTCCTCTCTGAAGGGGAACATTTATTTATTCATATTTTTCCTCTTATAGTTTCCTCCTTTAAGTAAACTAGGAGTATAAAAGTACTTCACAATAACCTTAGCCTTAGGACTCCATTAAATTGTTGTAGCAAATGGTAAAATTTTCTGCTAATATGCTACTTCATGGTTTAAAAATATAATTTTTTCATGTATAAGTTTCCATAATAAATTTTGGAATAGCATTCAACTAATGGAAATTTGACTTAGGCAAAATTATCATACAACTTATTTACTTCTCTCTAGCAATGTTTATTTCCACAAACAAGGCTCACCTATGTTGTTTAAATGTTTTTTTAAAACAGTTAAGTACATAATTTGATTTTTCATATTTTTAATAAACATACGAAACAGAAATTCAAGATCCAAACTCTGACAACCACTTATAATGAACAAAAGTGCCCCTAATTGAAACCACCATTTCTATCTTTTTTAATACTCAGTAACAAATAGTTTCTTAAATTATGTAAACAAATTTATATTTCTATTATTTCTGCGGAAAAATTAAATATTGTCAAATGTCCACTTGAAACGATGTTATTAATGCTGATGAAAGGAAAAATACTAAAATTCAACCTAAACACTCATCTATTACTTTCAGGTTTTGCACAAGATGTTATAGGACAAATAATTCAGTCTGACAAAATAACATTTCCCAAAAGCACCATTTCCAGTAACAATTTCTCTATTGAATGAGATTTGACAGCAAATATTGTGAAATATCTCAAACCACCCTGTACATGAGTCAATAAATATTATCATAATGTATTTTATAGAAAGTAGTAGGGCTGTCTTTATAGAAGCTTGAGGAACAATGGGTAAGTTCTCCTGACTAAAATAACTTCCACTAAAAAAA